CCTTGTTCCTAGAATGGCCTCCAACCTACTTGCGATGGCCTCCACCTAGTAGCGTCCTTGCTACTACTGTTGGCTGGTTTCACCACTCTGGTGTCCGAACCCCTCCACCTCGTAGGCCACATCAGGGGCGATCTCGGTCCGCGTCCGCGTCACCGGTCGGGCCCCTGTGGGGTCAAAGCGATAAACTTCATGTTTGCCCCTCCTTTTCCACTGTCAACACTCCAAACCTTCGCGGATACGCAATGAATTGGGTGATGGGTTGAACAGTTCCGGTTTTGCATCTGCAACACACCTGCCAGGCCTAAAGGGTTCACTGAGGATGGCTTTTGCTGCGAAAGTACTTCCATAAAACCCCACAAAACATAGTCAATATATCGATACAACTTCATACAAACTCGCCGCAATCACCATGTTTGTCTCAGGTGGACCACCATGCCAATTTGCGGCTAACTGTTGTTCTGGCTAACATTTCTTGAAGACTGTTTCAAACACCTGCGACCAACTGGCGGTAGTTCATTCTTTCACCGTTTTGACCGTTTTGACCTATGAAAGGAAACTGCTGGAGACCACAGGATTCTCCTGGAACCCCACTCTCCACATCATCATCCAGGTCCTCCGGGCCCGTCTCAAGCCGGCAGTGATCCGGCGGCAGCGCAGGGCCTCAACCGGTGCACTGCAGGGCCTTTCTTGCATCACAAACGACAAACATCGTGGAAACTGCCAGGCAGTTTTGGCCAACTGCGGGGACACTTGCGAACATATGATGGTATACCGTATGACCTGGCAGCCTGCTGTTTGCTCCTTTAACTTTGTTCTATAACATGGACATCACGGGTAGATAGTTTGCGCGTCGTCCTTGCGCATCCCTGTGCCATATGGCCATATGGTCAGCATGCTCCGTACATACTACAACTCTCAGTTGTTGAGAAAAAACAAACGCTTTCTTGGACTTCCAGCAATCCAAGTGGCACGAGGAAACATGACTAAACATAAGTTAGATCTGTTAGTTGCTGGCTTCACCTTGCTTTTTCTTCCCTTGGAGGGCTTTCCTTCCTTCCCCCAGAGGCTCTGAGAGTTGCCCCTGAGAGGTGAGGCGCTTGGGGCTTTCCACTTCCATGCGATGTCATGATGTGTTCGTCGGAGTGTAGTGGTTTGTTCACACTTTTTTTCTCAAAGGCCCACACCCACGAGGTTCTACAAAAAGGCATCCACTCCAAAAGTGTACTTGGAGGCCACACCTACAAACAGGATCAAACAGCTACCAATCTGCCTTGCAGTGGGAATGGGCCTATGTTACATCCAACTTGATGCACACTCAACAAATGCTGCAGGCTGCCACACTCCATTTTCACCACCAACTTGTAAGTGGTGCGCAGGCCAAGATTCGCGGGGGGGCCCCACGTGTCTCAATTTCTGCACACTCATGTTTAGGTTCGCACAACATCAACTATATATCTGCCCGGTTGCAAGCATCATGCCGGTTGATCAGATTTGCCAATCCATGGGACCATGAGAAAAGAATCAGCAATTCGCAAACAAGTCCTAGAATTCTGAAATCAACCATCAGTATAATATCAACAAAGCTCCCCAATGGTGAAATGAGAACGGAACAAAAAAGGAATCAGACTTGCGATGTCCTGTCAAACCAAATGTCTCCGTGTCAAACGCTTGGCCCCAATGTGTCCAAGACTCTTGGCCAAATCATGCGCAACCACATGGAAGTGGCTCGATCACAATCCACGTTCGTGAAGGCGTGCTTCCCGGAATGAGTTTAATTTGTTCTTCCAAGGCCGCTACTACCCAACAAAATCCTCCAAACCAACAGCTGGCAAACATGAATGCCGAGCAGTTTTTTTTTTGAGCATGAGTGTTTCCTGAAGTGGGTCAGTTTCTTTCAAGTTTTTGTTCATCCACTTCCATGTGGGGCGAAATCGCAGCAGGTTGCTTTCTGGCGCTAGATTCTACTGGCACCAGGTGCCACGTCTATCTAGGCCAAGCTAGGTGCAGGGGACCACTCAGGATCCAGTCCAAATGCTTCCAAAGTCAAGTCCTGCGATGAATACCACATTTGCACTCGCATTTGTTCCAGCATCAGTGGATAGGAGGATGTAGGAGGGATCTCAAAATGTTGTGGGGACTACCAGGGGGTACGTGCACTGGTGCAGGGTTTTTTATTCATCAAAAGTTGGATGACACATGTGACACACACACACACACATGCACACATTATCTGAACACACAAAACATTTGCAGCATCCATTCTGTCCGTAAATCCACCTGGTGACCAACAATGTGGCTCCCTGACTTGCAACAGGAAGCTCGCAACAAAAACACATTTCAGCTGGGAGTAGGAGTAGAGGCTGACTTTGTAAGCCCCCAGGGGTTATATATATAGAGTCCCATAGTAAGTGCATGAAAGTGTTATAAAGCTTCCCTGAAATCGAGCAGGATCCCTTGAACAAGTGACCCTGTGAGGAGGGCAAGCACTTACGAGCAAATGCAATTTGCGGCATTTCTCAAATCAAAAGCTATTGCATGTGATTGCCATGACTGTGCAGGAAGCAGCACTAGTCGTGACAGCAACTTCCTAAGCTCTTGACACATGTGAACACCCTCCAACCATCACAAAAACAAGAGTGCACAAATGAATCTGATTGGCTCTGCCCGTTTGCCAAACTCATCTTGGCAGAAGTGAATCCAAGATTCATCAAACATCCATGTGCAACAGGACGCTCAACAGGGTCATTGGACATCTTTTGTCACCAAGACCTCTGGGAGAGCCCAAAGAGAGAGATCAAAGACAGCTACAACATCCTAATGTAGACTCTTGATCAGGAGGGTCATGGATTTGACTAGGGGGAGAGGGGGGGGTTCACATTAATCAAAAGTCTACATTCACCTGGGAAGATTAACATGCAACCTGACCATGGACCTGTGGAAGACTACTTTCCTCTACAGTCCAAAGGGTTTCAGGTTCCATGTGGGTCTCTTCCATGGCGTACAACCAACCCATGAAAACACCACGTCTCTCCTCCCCCTCTGGCTGGTTCTCTCGCACCGCACACAGCCGCGCCAGGTAGACCGCATCCAGAGGTGTGAGCTGCAGTTCAGCGTCCGCCGTGGCCGTCGAGGCATCGAACACAAAAGCGAAGTGGTGAGCCGTGTCAGACCAAACCAGGGCCTGAGACAGGAGGACCAAATATGATCATTTTAATTTGGCGATCCACTCTCAGTGAACAGTGGGTGGGTCGTGTGAACACTTTCTGGGGATCCCATGACCGTCGACCCTATGATCTCCACATAACCCGTATGTTCGTTGCTGCCGCTTGCTCCCCGCCCAACCTCGGATCGGATATGGGTCGTGTCGTGTCTGAACCGAAATAAAGCTACCCCACTTATATAACATAGATCCTGAAAACAACTGGTTTGTAGAGGAAAACAGTCTTTGAGGGTGCCCTTCGCAGGGTCCATGTGAGTTTTCGGGAGTGTAAGGGACCTTTTTGGGGCACCTCTTCTTGATTACAATTTCTGCATGTTCATGTCGATGGAACACTGGTATCTCGACGGGAAGAGTCTGGAAGAGTTCACTCTACCACCTACGGTCAGTCTGCGTCCATCCCAGTGATGGTAAAACAGAACCACAGACCCATCAGCAGCTCGGAAGCATTCCAAGCAAATCCCACTTACCCACCACCGCCCTCCGACCCTGCTTCTCAATCGTGCGGCCAGCGAATCCACCTGAAGCTCCTGTGCTCCCGCGCAGGGCGATGCGGGAGAAGCCGCTAGGTTCAGCTGGCCAGTGGTCACCAGGTGAGCATCCAGGATGCTGGCAATGGGGAAGTCCAAACCTGTGTGGGTGGGCTTATTCAAGTTTAGAAGGAGAAAAACACCAGTTGGATGGGGGCATAAGAAACCACCCTCACAATAAGAAACCAATGGATCCAATCTCAAATCAGGAGGTCAATGAAATGGTGTGAGTCAATGGGGAATTATCAAGAAAATACATTGAACAAAATTTAATCACCCGCCACCCAAAGCAAATACACAGTATACAATTCTAGAAGTCACTTGGGACGTGAACATGGGCACGGCATGGATAAACTACAACTACAACATATCCAGATCCATTGCAAGGCTTCCAATCACATTTGGTTGGCATAACATAACATAACATAACCATCCCCAATAATAGGGAAGGACAAAGGAACAAATCTTCCAAAGCACCACCCAGAAACGAGCCGAGGCGTTCAGACCCTCCAAACCAGATGCTCCAAGCTCCTGTCCGATCGCGATCTGTATGCGGCACAAAAGAACCATGAAGAAAAGGTCGAGCAAACATATATCGGTACAATATCGGTAGAATCATTTTAGTGTCAATGGCGGCTCTAGGCCCCTAGGCCACGGTTGTTCATCCTTTCCAACGCGGCGTAGCCGATTTCGGAGAACCCCAGTGACCGAATTCACAACAACGAGTCTCGGACTGTGGGACGGACCATGTGGGACCGTGTGGACGGGACGTTCGAACAAGTCCAGTTCCTCTGATTTCTCCCCTCTCATCTGAAACTGATGTTACTGATGTTCATACATACTTGCAAACCCGATGATCATATTTTACTCAGCCAGCTTGCAAGCCTGGTTCGCAACTAATCCAAGTGAAGTCACGGGCGATGCCATGCATGTCCAGCATCCAACAAAGTGCACTTTCCCCAATTTTGGGAATCAAGCATCGCCTCCTTTTTGCAGCTAACGACCACCCACCCGGAATGTTCACATGAGTTCCACATGGTTCCACCATTCACATGACCCGGCCGATATATGATCAACACTCTCTCCATCTCTCTCCCGTCCTCCCCCACAGCTCCCAATGGGAGCCGACTCTCAAGCACCAAGCCAAAGCGTGGGCATGACTTCGACGAGGTAGCACGACCGGCGGCACGAGTCCCGTCGCCCGCTGTCTCTCCCCGCGCGATGACCTTGAAGGTGGCCAAGGACAAAGCCGGAGACCAACCTGACGATGTGAGAAGGGTGGACACGTGGGTCGCATCTGGAGGTCTGTTCTACCAGGGTAGGTTGACCACGTGAGGTAGTCTGTTCTGTTCATTCTGGGAAAAAGCCAGCATGTCCCAGTTTCGATCCACGGCCATGTGGACACGTGACAACTTGTGACGATCATGCGCACCGAAACGAGTGACGAGCAAGCTCCCGCATGATACTCGAGACAATTCGAGACCCATTCAGAAAGTTTCACACCAGCCCAATCCGGTCAAGTTTCAAGGCTTCCAACTGTGCAAGTAGGAAGAAAGGAAGGGAAAACAATAAGGCACACCAAGCCTGATTCTACTTTATATATGTAGATGCTGCTAAACTGCTTTTTCTGCCACGGAGATCCTTAGCTCTACACTATCAGCTACAACTACCTGCAGGTTGACAAACCATGCAAACCCATCAGGGGCACGATCTAATTACAGTATCGCGTATTGCTTAAGTCGGTATAAGTCGGCCACATCCCAAATGCAAACTTCAGCTAGTTCTTGGCACACTAATTGAGATTGAAAGGAGCTGCTTTCATACGGCTCCACCTGGCAATCCTCTTCCAATCCCGGCCAAATCGCCACCCAGGTGCATCCAGATCCATCGGCACCTTTGTACAAACAGCCCAGCAAGGCACACAAATGTCCACTGCAGCCTTCCATCTCCTGACACGTCAACGTCGTCACGCCCCACGGGTCCTGATGGAGTCGTATGGAGTTTCTCGTTTCAGGGACTTTGGCCCCTCCGCCGTCCTTGATGCGTCGATGCGCCCGAAGGAAGGCCAACAAAGAGACGTCCGGCGTTGACCCGGGCGGCGCACGTGTCTCCATGGTGATGGCCATGTTCACGGAGATGCAAGTGAAGTCCAACCTGACCCGGCAATGGCCGGTTCCGGACCCGTGGTTTGGCCCGTATCAGCTCGCAGGCCATTGATACTCTGACTCGATATGGAAGCGGAAAATCCGGCTTCTGGGAAGACTGCCTTCAGGTGATTGAGCATGCTTCTCTCCCAAAAGCTAAAAGCTGGTCTCAGCCGGGAGGATTGGAGGATACTGATCCAAATACGAAGCTCCAAACAAAACCCTGACACAAACGCCTAAAAAAGGAGGGTGACTCGAATGACGACTTGGGCTCTGAGGATATTGAAAGCTTGACCTCGGTGACTTGAATCTGATGCGAACTGGTGTCTTGGGCCTGCCAGGTTAACGGGAAGTATTGCCAGGATCCCCGGAATTTTAATGGACACCGCGAATCACCTCTATAAACATATCACTATAACAAAATACCCATTGCATCGGCCTGGTGTGGTTGTCTTGCTTGTTCCTTCCATCAAGCTGCCACACACAAAATTCAACCTTCTTCAACCGATATAGATTCTTTGCATTGAATGACTTTGGCATTTGTTTCGGCGCGCGGACCATACTGCGCGAACAGCGCATTGATAGGAGGCTTGCCCTGGAAAGCCTCAAATCTTCATAAATCTTCCACTAGTCACTAGTGCCACAGCAACTGGTAACCCTCTATGAAAGCATCCGGAATCCACGGGCTGACCAACCCTGAGAAACCATTCAACGCACCAATAAATTGATATATCCGCTTGAGAAGATTCTTCGGTTGAGTACGTCGAGTTTGAGCACTCGGCCACCCAGCCTTACGGCGCTCACCGGCCACTCCTTCGCCACCCAAGGCGCTCACGGAGGAAGAAGTCCAGCTGCTCCGACTTCGTCGCGTTGCTCGGCCGCACCAAGGGGCCGGAGCCACGCGACGAAGGCGCACGCCCAGCGTGGATGGTGGAGCCGGTGGGGTCGGCAGAGAGGTCCTCAATGAAAGTATAGATGTCAAACCTGAGTGAACTCAGCGAAAGTATGGACCAATCGAGCTGGGGAGTTGGCCGATCGAGCTCTTTTAGGAGTTCCTTTCTGCAAGATTGATTCAAAGCTCCATGCCAAAAGTAAAGAAACATGATTGATCCGCTGGAGGGAAGAGGGTCTGTGTAAACAGGATGATTACACCCTACCAGCAGGATACCAATTATACTGCTATACTTACCTGCACAAATGTCCATCTTCGAGGCGTCTCCCTCTGGGTCCTGGGTGCGCAATCCCCGGCAGTAGGTGGTTCTTCAGCCCTTTATAACCCCCTTATGGTGGCCAACTCCTTTCAGGGGAGAAGAACCCTGAGCCAGTCCCTGAGCCCTAAGCAGGTTTGGTTCTTCGTTTGCTAAACATGACTTTTGGCAACTTGAGAAGCCTTGCACTGAGGGTGTTTCATGGAAACCCGACTTTTGGAAGGCTTGTATTTCATGGTGTTTCGCTCAGGAACCGGATGCTATGCATGCACTGACTGTCAAAAGGAAAGCAACCATCTAGCCAATGGGCCAGTGGATGCAAAATGCAAGAACAAATCCATGCAAATGCTCGAAGTTCTGATGGCACGTGGTAAATGGGCTTGGGGTTGAGCATGCAATTGGCGTAGTTGGACTGGAAAGGGTGCCCCTCCAACGTCAATTTGTGTGAGAAGCGCTCAATGAGCCGATATGCTCGGAACAAACCCGGAGGGCCCAACAGCTTGGCCTCGCCCAGAAGTGCTGACAGCCACTCAACTGACCATGTCAAACCACCAGCTTGCGGTTTAGTGTTGACCCCACCCCATCAGCCATCCTGCCACTTCTCCATGAGTGGTACATCCTCCATGAAAATTTGTTGCTGCAGTTCGCGCGCTTCTCCACTGGCGAGACACAAGAGTTCTTGTGCACTTAAAACCACTTGTTGGACTCGATCGTCTCGACTTTTCGACCACAGCAGCAGGAAATTCAAGGGTTGAACCATGCACTGCCTGACTTCGACGACAACCACGCGCAGCTGCGAATGGATTTCTTCCACGGCACGGGGTGAGCAGTGGGTTCTGGTGGCGGTGTCCAACTCAAGAGAATCTAGGGATCCACATGAGCCCACACATTCCAAGGTGGCCTTGGAGGGTTCCCTACAAGACCCAAAAGGAGCCCATAGGTATGGTATGGTCAACGGTGGTCCGGGTGACATCTGGCCGAGTGAGCTCGGCAAGAGATGTGTCCCCCTTCTGGATCATCTGATCATCTACCCGTCTCTCAACAAAAAGGATTTCAAGCACCAAAGGAAGCTGGTGGTGTCCGAGTTGCATCCCCGTGTATCCATGACTCATGGATACTCATGGGGATCATAGTGCACACCGGCTGTGTGTGCTAAAGGTTGGTGAATTGACCTTTAAGGATGTTGCTTCCTGGACGATGCTAAGGGCTACCGCCATCTAGTGGCTGCCAGGCTCCCAAAGGGCTGCATGTCCACGTGGTAACGACGTTGTGCACACAAAGAAAACAGCGCTCTGGATCAATCCTACAACAATCCGCATAATACCTGACTAATATCAAAGCCCCGTATACGAAATACCTTGGCGTCCTAAACGTCTTACATCAACTATACGTACTTCCCTGTGGTCTTCCTCTCGCCCGGGCACACGCGGTGCTGCTTCCGGGGCACACGCGGCGCTGCAAGCCGACCAACCGTCGTCGGTCAGCCTCATGGAGATCCACGGCATCCGGCTGCAGGAGTCGATGGATGCCCACCTCAAAACAGGTTGAGTGACATTGAGTGGATGGGGCTCAAGCAAGTGAAGGGAAACAATCCTGCGGCCATAATGTGGTTGAAGTTGTTGTCATTTGGCGTTTCCGTTCTGCGGCCGCTTCCAAAAAGGCCGGTCGCTGTCAAGTGACACCGTCACATCGTCCACCCATCAGTCCAGGACACATACGCCCACGATTCTCTCAGGGCCATGTGCTCACAGAAATGCTCACCATTCGCTTATCGGGCGGACCAAACGGGTCAAACACAAAGCACCCATGTCGGGCAAAGCTTCGGGGGCCACGAAGGCGGAAACACTCTCTATGGGGCACCCCTCGACTTTTTCCTGTCACAGCGGCAGTCATCCCACGAGCTTTGCTGATGACCTCTGCCGAGCTGGAAATCAAAGACCAAGTCCCTGCAATGATCGACGCCATCTGCGCAGCGGCCGCCAGTTCTTCAGCGGTCAACGTGACGCGACAGCTTTTGCAAGGAGGGTGGGGTTTTGAGGGCGGTTATTGGTTTGCAATGCCGAGGGAATGGATGCAAGTGTGTTTACTGTCTGCCGTCGATATGTGGGATGCAAACAATAATTTTGCGAAGTTGCGCAGGGACGTTCTAAGGGTAGTGCTGCACTCACTTGAATCAACAGTGGCCCCGTGGCCAATGGTGGGAAGTCCCGGAAATGAATTGAGTCCGGCAAGATCTCAGCAAAGGTTTCAACCTCCAACGTCTGAAAAATGGAAAGATACCCAACCCAATAATAGAGTAGGACTAGGAGGTAGCAACTACCTGCTATCACATATTCCACCAGGATGTCCGGATGTTTTTTTCAATACGGTGGGGATTGATCACACATCTTCACGCTGCCTGGTTGTGTGAGTTCAACATCGCCGCCCTGAGAACCAACAATTCCCTTCGGGGAGCGAACCTATGTCTGAACCAGGGCGATGACATACCTCCGGCCATGTGTCTATGGTCAATTTCTGTTATATATCTCTCTCTCTCTCTCTCACGGCTTGCTCTCGCTGGCACACATGGTTCAAGCGCAATGTTACTGTGCTTAAACGTCGTTCCAGAAAACGCCGTTCAATTTTCTGAGGTATCTGAATATTCTGAAGCATTGAACACGTTCTTGATCACTCTTGTTGCTGTGCTTGTCTCATAACCTCTTCATGCCACAAGCACAAAGGCTCCCTTCCAAGCGCTGTTAAGCCAGTGGTGGGTCATGCGAGTGCGGCGCCAGCAGTGGGTGGGTTGGGAAAGGCAAATGAATTTGAAACAACCTTGCAACTTGGAACAACCGAATCACTACCATTTAGCCTACAGCAATTTCCATCGCGGACATTGCTACGGGGATGTCCATGGCTGCAGCCTGTTTCCACCACTTTGAAAACGAAGAATGTCACCTTCGGTACGTCCATCTTTGCTCTGTGCATGTCGCCATCTCTGCATCTGCCGATCGACGACTCTGGGACCCCCAGCGACGACGGCTTCCTCCTCGCCGTTGGAGGAGCTGCTGGGCTCATAGAGGTCCACGAGGCGGTGCTCCTGCGGCTCCACCGAAGAACGGTGGTCCTTCAAAGAAAGGGACCATAAGGCCATAAGGGAAGGAATGTAACTGCTGGGTCATTGGAAAAAAGGTGGGTTGGGGCACCTTTTGCGGGTCCCACCCCACTAAGAAATGGCTCGTTGGAGGTGACATGTAGGTTTTTGTATATGAGGTGACCGGCCATTTCATCGTTGCATCGTCCAATGCTGGAACCAGCGCCCAGCTGCTTCACACTGATCCACCCATGGATCCTTCAAAACCCCTCACCAATGAGCGCTGATGTGAGGAAAATGAGAAAAGGAACATGAAAGGCTGATGTTGGTGACCCTTCTTCAGCATGTGGTTTCTTCGGTTCATGTCTTTCGGTCATATGATAAAATTAGCCCTCGATTAGGTAGACTAATCATTATCCAGGACATCCATTTTTTCTACGCAACCGAGGAATCTGACGCCGTTGACAGTTGCTAGGGCAGCAACACTGTCCAATTCTGTCAAACAGACTGAACTCACGCCACTGATTATCATGTGTTTTTTTCCCAGTCTTTGGGCGCCCGCAATGATGCCTTAGTGTACATAATCTTCATGCTGTTGAGAGCTCTGGCCAAAAGAAGAGCTGAGCAGCACGACTCAAAGAATGATTACGGTATCCTCAAAACACCCAGTAGTGATGGCCAAAGAATCACTGAAACCAGCTCTCTAGGTTCGCTACACCCAGGCCCCCACAGAGCCAAGAAGTGGCTAAGTGCAGGGCATAAAGAAGCGCCTCAAGCAAGACCTGGCTGTTTTCGAGACACACAGCATTTCGCCATGTCAAGGAGAAGGTCACATCAATAGGTCACATTATAATGGGTCACGTGACGGTTCTAGATCTATCAACCAACCGCAATCCCAATACTTCCCCGTTTCTTGACTAGTTATATATTTTATCTAGTCTATATCTAATGAAACGACACTATGACATACAAACTTCGGCTGAAACATGACCTGTATCATGTTTGTACACTCCAGGTAGGTTGGCTTGTACATCCGCATCGCGCTCCACACGCAACAGAGGACGCTCCGAGGTTCGCCCGGGTCGCCCCGGCCAACGCGTCGGCAGGAACCGACTCGGCACTGCAAAGCTCCTCGTAGACCTTCAGGTCACCTGTGCGATCGGCGAGCCGAAACCAATATGTCCAACATTAGAAAACGACTTGGCATCCTGGAATGCCACATGCCATATTGTTCAAACAACCATAAACGACGTCGCACAATACTAATAACATTAACATATTGTCGTTGACACCCTCTCAAGCTGGGGGTCCTTGGCATGCACACTCTTAGCCCTCATAAGTGCTTGACAAAAACAATTCTCAGTCTTCTTGAATGCCCAGCGCGCAGGGCGGAAGAATCGCTGTATCTGATGAAAACCATCTTGGCGTCTGGCTTGGTCTGGAATGCTTGGTGCCCAAGGCCGCGACCTTCGTCCACCACGTTGGACTGGCCCAGCTGCTCCTGCCCGCCGCGTTGTTGGTAGGTGAGGAAAAAGGACGTCGTGCTCGGACGGAACCTCATCTCCAACCATCCATGTTCGACTATGATTCGATGTTCACCACAAAAACGACCTCGTTGTGGGAACATCAATATGGCAATATGTCCACACTTGCGTTCTGGATGCACCAATCTATCCAGTTGCTGGTCGCTCTACGTCTTCCCGCAGGCAGCCCCAAATCTTTGTCCATCAGGCAGGCAAATGGGAGCGTACAAACATACATCATACATCATATTTGATGAGCGTGTTGTGTAGTGTATGGTCATCCGCTGATGTTGGCTGCAATGTACCAGGACAGCATTCCACCCCGCCGCACAGGTATAGTACAACATTAAGGACATGGACGACCGCCCGGTTGGACCACTCGAATGAGCTAGCAACACACAATTCTATGTCAATATGAGTGCTGATCAAACTCACTTTCCTGTATTGCGCATGTGTTCAAAGGAAACTTGCCTGATTGCCATCTGTCTTGGTTTCATCTGCATGTCATAAACTGTCTACTATCATCTGCCTGGATGTGCGTGTGAAAGCTGCCTCACTGTCATCTCCTTTAAAAGGGTTGACTATGATGAACAGTCCTGGGAGCTTAAAACACAAACACACAACAACCAAACAGCAAAAAATAACAATAGTTGGGAACTCGTTAAGCTAGGGGAGGGGGTTGTTTGTATATATATATATGTATATACTATAATCCTGCGGTGTTTTGGTTATTTTTATGGAATCTTTCGATACACACGCCAAGGAAATAAGTTCAATAGAGACTGGGCCACGATTGAAATGTGTTCCTCTTTAACTTCAGTTGCCCTTTTGCTGAAACAGTGGCTCTTCCCTTCTTGGATATTGCTGATTATAGGCAAAATCAGTTGCAAAACATGGATGTCTACAAGAACTTCCAAAGCTGTGACCCTTACAAAGAAGAGTGTTTATGAACATTGAGGACCTTCCTCAATGGAGGACACTGTGCTCAAAGGTAATTACGCATTTACTGTATATGTTCAAAGCCTTATTATTAGATCTTATTAGTATTAATAAAGCATCGCAAGGGTAAAAACAATACAGCATATGATACCATATGGTAGTTAATACTGTCGCCTTGTAAAATAGAGGAGGCTTTTTGGATAAGGCGGATGTTTCTATGCACTCGTTGGTTCCAAAAAGGATGGGGCGTTTGAACAAATGTGAAGGCACTAAAACAAATACCGTTTGAATAAGACTGTCATGTTTTCAAGGTCCTTTTTTGCGAGAAGGAAAAAAAACTTCCGAAGCAAGGGAAATAACATATTCTTCAAAACATCGGTTAGGCTGGATTTGCAGTATCTATGCAATAGTGTTAAGGAACATGTACTGTAACTAAATCCAAGACTTACTGACTGAATTTCGGATGATCAAAGGCAACATATCAAAAGTGCTCACAAACTGCACTCTCACAGTCCTCCGCTCGCTTAAGAATAGGGAGACCCCCAAAGACCTTTTGACCAAACCCACTGCTTTGGAGAGTCTCCCTATTCCAACACATATGCAAAACTGAAACAAACAAAGTTATAGTTATTACAGTTATTTTTTACATGACACACCTGTGTGGATAGCATTTGATGCACATTATGGCACCGTACACATCCATGTCTCCCAAAGGCATGTCTCGTCCTTCACCCGCGCAGCTTCGGGCCAGGCACCATCCATGCCTCCCGTGGTCCATCACGACTCGAACCATCGAACGACATGTGTTGGATTGAAACCCAAAATCTCCAAAGGTTGTAGGAGCTGATCGACAGACTATCCCATAGGTACCCCAGTAGATTCCTAGCGTCACTTAACCTCAAATCTCCACAACCAGCAGCTCGATCACTACGGTCATATCTTCGATGTGGTGGCACCCATATCTTCATGAAAGAACAACCCATCATTCTCAGGTGCAGGATGGATGGTCCACCATCTTATGGTGGGCCGGAAATAGCCATCCAACCCAAAGTGATTCTGCACGTTACTTGCGTTGCTTGGCGCGTTGCTTGGCGCTGCTTGGCTGCTTCGACCGACAATGAGCCGTCGAAAGGGCTGGCAGTTTTTCATGATCGCTACTCAGCCGCTACTCCCAAACAGGACACCTACCAGGGCAATTCCGTTCCAGTGCCGTCTCTGGCTGTCACATGATGCAAAGAATGAGTCTCTTGTCCCCAAACTCCAATTCGAGGGGTCTCCTCAAGTCAAGAATCTTAAGAACTGCCTAGGCCCAAAAAAACCAGCTGCAGCGCGAAATCGTATGCGTCTAGTGCATCTCATCTTGGGTTCCGCGCACACCAGCAACATCACCGCTGCTAGCTCATGGTAGCCTTGACCTGGGCGTTGCGTGGTGCTTCCGCCACATCGGTCGACCTGATCGGCAATCCAAGGTGGGCGCAGTAGGCAGGATGGTCTTGGCGCCTGCAGAACGAAGGGAAGGCGTGACGAAATGGGGCGGGTGCGGCGGCTGGACACATTGGTCAGTGCATGTCAGTGCAAATCACGAAGTGGTCCGGAAGTGGGGAAAATCATGTTTCAACAAGGAATTTCCATGGCTGGTGTATTGAGTTCGACCACGCAGCAAGGCTCGCTGGTAGAGCAACTGTAGGTTCTCCATCTGGTTTCCCCTATTTGTTGCTACCGTATAAACCACTGAACCTGTCGGGGACGAAACCAGAACATCCTCGAAGTATCTGGAGGCACTACCTGTGGACTTGCACACCACTGGGGCTGAGGAAGCGGAAGTGGAACAGCAGGCCGCTGCCATTGACCCACGGCAAAAAATATCATGAACATAGCAGGCGAGCAGCTCACCACCTTCTTTAGAAATCTTAATTAATGTGCAAACACGCGAAGGAGCAAGGATGCTACTAGGGGCTCCTGGCCTTGCTACTGGGAGCAAGGACGCTACTAGGGGCTCCTGGCCTTACTACTAGGAACAAGGACGCTACTTAAGGTGAACAGCAAGATTGCCGCATCATAGAGGTTTGAGGGGCCCCTAGCTCATTCGATGCATTTTGCGGTTCTGTGCCCTTTGCAGTGACCCCGGGGGATTCTATCCAGCGTTTCCGCCGTCAACCTTGCTAAGGTTTGTAGGGCCCGCAACTTTTGCAAACCACCACTTCTGGGGCCGCTTGACAACAATCCTGCTGCACGCTCCTTCACAACGGTCCAATTTGTTCAAAGTGACCTCTGTAGAGCGGCCCGCTTGCAGGCCAAATGACTGCAAAGCCATTCCTCAAAATGTTGTTGTTTGAACAACCTGGCCCTTGGCATTTGGAACTTGATGTTCCTCTCACCAAGCATCAATTTGTTGGAGCGTGGCCGACCAAACAGGGAACTCAGGTCTAACAAGCTCACCAGGCACTTCTCTGACTGCACAAAAAGGCCCCCCAAAGCTTGTCCCCATCACCACTTGGCAAAACTCAAGCAACCGCTTTTGGCAGGGTTTGCAGCCTGGAGGTACATAGAACATTAATAGCTTTTAACATTTCTAACATATACCCCGGAAGCTCGGGTGCCACAGGCTCTGCTAGTGTCTCTGACTTGCAAACCATCCCAAGTTGGGAAAACACACAACACACAAGTTACAACATTGAAATGTAAATATCATAACGTCTGATTTTGAATTCCTAAGAGATCCATGTTTGTTCTCCGCTACTAGGGTGGAGGCCATCGCTAGGTTTGTTCTCCGCTGACGCGCCTGCGCAGCTGCACCTCCAAGAGCTGCCGCAGCGCCACGCGCGCGGCGCCGCACCGGAGCCGCGGCACCTGCGATGCGGTCTCCCGAGGGTGGTGCAGCCCGGCACGAGATGGGGCAAAGCTTTAAAGGTTTTCAGCCAAAGAGTGGGTGTTAAGGGGCCGAGGTGAGGTGTTCACAGAGCCACATAGCTTGGAGCTTGCATTTAACAATGCCCTCAGATCTGCGTGACAGCGGGACCTTAGCTGCTGGGCTCCTCACCAGTCATTGCGAGGAAACAGTGAACCACCAAGGGCCAAGGGCACTGCTTCATCATTGTCAATACTGGAACTGGTGTTTTATTCTAAGGCAAACATCCCCGCGGCCGATGGTCCGAGCGTGGGTTGGTTGTGGTTGGTTGCTGCACTTTTCCACCATGCTTCTACCCTGCCAGGTTGCTCGCTGGGGCAGGGTAGTGGCCGGGGTTACCGTGCAGGATCCTATGGCCACTATAGTGTTGCTATGAAAGTCTGGGGCGCTCGGAGATCATGAAGGCATCAGGTTGTTTTCATGTTTTTCTCACTCAAAAAGTGGACAACCTGAGTCACCTGAGCTGCAAAAAGTGCGGCGGAAAAGATGCATCTCAAACCTTAGTTGGTGGAACCTGGATCCATCTGGGCTAGCTGTAGCTTTGAGAGACTGATGAAATTCTCCTTTTGGGAAAGCAACCAAGTTTCATAGTTCCCCACTTGCTAACAGAACAACTTACATTATTGGATTTATATCGGAAGTGAAACATTTATAGTCACATTATTGGAATTATCTTGGCAGTCAAAAGATTATATGTTTGTAGCGGATTTGGGTCGAAGAGGCCATGTTCTACTTCCATTGTGATTCCAGGGAGTGCAGCAGCACTGAACATGAGCCACTGGGCCCAGTTCTGTTTCCTTGGACCACACCACACCCATCGTGATTGCAAGCAGGAAGCACATTGGAGGGTCCATGAAGTCATGACTGCCAAGGCGGGACCAGTTGTTGGAAGATGGAGCTTCAGCAGCCCCCCCAACGAACCCAAACCCATCGCGAAACAAACGACCAAGACCCACAGTGCGGGGTCCTAGATGGCCCTAGATCTCATGTCGCAGCGGCCTCTGAGAAGCAACGGGCCACATCCAAACGGATCAGCTTCCCTCGGTGTGCAGCCATGTCCCAACAGGACCATAGGCACTAGCCATTGAAGGTAGCGCATAGAAATACAGAACAAGAGTAGCGATGTTAGCAGTGATTGTCTTCATATGAATCGACCTGAAATGAACCATGGAAACCTTCTCTTTCATGAAGGCCATTTGGGGTCATGTTACATCTCCGTTTAAGCAGAATCTGCTTGAAGAAAACATCCACAACTCGTGACCCCTGGTTGATTTGTGGACATCTACACCTGCTGCAGTGACCTCTAGGGATCTGCATCTCGATGTTCAATGCAACTTCTCCTCCAAGGTTCACCAAGCAAAAGCCCTAACTCTCGTTTCTAAACCTTCGGCAGCAGAATGGGTTTAAGGGACACTCAACAGGAACCCTATAGTTTGTAATTAGGGTGAAAACACGGGGTTCCTGTAGATTTTCCAGGTTCTCCCTCAAACCCATTCATTGAACTGGGCGAGATGTATTCAATACTATTCTCAGATTCTTGCCAGCGTTGAAAGCACTTGCTGGCATTCCGTGACACGGGCAACTCTTACCGGATTCAAATTCCAACCAGGTTAGTTGGGGGCAAAAGACTGCAACACACAAAACCAACGGCGACGGGCTTGAATTTGGTAATATGATGAGCACTATGATGCGAGTGTTCGTTGTTAAATTGCTATTAGGGTCGTCTTGCTCCGCTTACAACGTTTACTTTGTTATTGATGTATCTTCAGTTCATATAGTGCTTACATATAATACATCATATATGATGCTTTACATTCATGTCAGTAAGTGTCCCTTTAGAACAAATGTAGTGTTGGTTCTTTCCGTGTAATTAATTGTGTAACTGCTTAACAGTGCAAGGTCAATATTGGAGAAAACCTGAGTCTACAAATGACCTTGACCCAGGCCACATGGATACACAGCTTTGGGAGAATGGAGCACGGCCACTGGAGGACAGGCCCGGCTGTGGCCAAACGCGAGAACGACCCAGGCCGACCCCAGGCCCCAAGCCACGAAACGAAAATGGTACCCGAAACGAACAAGTCTCCAGCTGGCGAAGTTCGGGCACAGTGGCGAGAAGCCAAAAGCCCAACCAGAAACCGCCCGGCCACCAGAAGCCAGAAGCTAAGCCACCGAATCACAACATTGTGCTGCAAAGATCAAAAACATGCAGCAATCGGTGACGATGTTTGCCTTTTATATATATATATATATTATATAGAAATAGCCTGAGTTGATCCCCACATATATATATATATATACACACACCAACCCCAAGTATGTACACAGCACGTGTGATTAGGAATGGTTTGGGTGCTCACCCACACTAACACTGTACAGTCACCATACATCCCTTGTTGCTCATCCGCTTCATCCAATGGGCAAAAACTGGTCCACCATCACTTGATATCACTTGCCTGGGTGAATCTAAGCCCTGTGCGCAGCTTGGTCTCTTGGGGCGTCGATGGTGAAGCCGCCTGGCTCTGGTGAAGCCGACCCAGCCCAAGCGGCAAGCTGTCGAACCGGGAAAAGATCGAACATCTCTTCAGAAGCGGATTTCCCCATACGGAAACCATGGAACACATAAAATCACCTGATCTGCAAAACCAGGTCAACCAGTGTTGCGAACCCGTCAGCTGCCAAACGTCGTTGAAAGGACCCAAGCACTCCATGTCTGTCATGCGCCTACATTGACCCCTCAAACCACCCCAATGTAGGTAAACATGCCCATACATGGAGTGCCTGGGGGATGGAAAATCAGGATGCCCTCTACAAAGCGGTGGTGGCATGTTAATTGAGGTGGGTCCTTAGGGGTCTTGTGGCCTTGTGAACAAGCCTGGTGTGCATCTGGGGCGCGCTTTTTTTGATCATCTGGTTGACTTCAACAACTCAAAATAAAGTCACATAACATGAAAGTTGATGAACGTTGACCAATTTGGACGATGCTTCACCACTCTAGAAGTTCACAAACCCATTTCAAACCCATTTCTGCGTGCGTGTGTGTGCAGCTGTAGCCGCAGCCCTTAAGAGCTGGTTGCCCCGGCGCGTGCCCCCATTCTTGATAGCTGGGTGGTGTGTGGGCAAAGGATCATGATCAGCAGATTCAACCAGTTTGAGGCTGTGCCCCACATCCTATAATCAGCGTCATCCACCTGGGAGTTCTTATTGCATCATCCACATTTTGGTCTCTCAGCGACTTCGGCTCCTTTTCCTGGCACCGGCTCCAGCGGGTCCCTGCGCTTGGTCACAAGCGCGGCGCCGGACGAGGCGGGCGGAGGTCTCGCTGCAGTTCGGTGAACGACCCAGACCTCGATGACGAAGAGCGGCGGAGGCCACGCCATTCAGCGATCAAAGAAGTGGGAGAAACCCCTTTTTTGCCCTGATGTTTTCACGTGCTTCCTAATTCTTCGGACACGGTTGAGGGATGTTGGGGTGTATAGGGCCTTGACATCCAGAAACTAGAAAAGGAACAACAAATAGAGATTGCCCGTTTGCAGCGCGGTGACTCACCAGTGACCGCACGGTTGGAACGCACCCATTCAGTGGATTTGAAATGCATCAAAGCAACAGCGCATCTTGGAACGCCACCGAACGCCCCTCTTAAAGCTCCTCGCCTCAGTGTCTGTTTGTGTGTGTGTCAAGCCCTGTTTCCAAGGGTTTAATTTTAATTTAACTTGAAGCAGGGGGACAGAGCTCTCTGATGCTACTCTGTCCAACGAAGCTATGCATCAGAGAGGGAAGCATCCACTGGCCATGGATGTGTACCTGCTGAACGATTTCAAGCTGTGACTCCACTCTTCGCTTTTTTGGTTCATGGTCCTTCACGTTTCCACCCCCAAACCTGTTTTTTTGAGCTGAGTTGTGCCGCTCGTTTTGCCACCGCTGAGGTTTGCAGTCAAGGGAAACAGCCTTTGTTAAAACACCTACAATTCCTTGGACTTTTCGCCATACTGTTCCATCGCCATCTTTCCCATCGTGGTAATTGAGTTACTGTAACTGAAAACCAGTGTCAGAGTGTGAGCCGCTCAGTCTTCCCACTTGGGTGCTGGGTGTGACCCTCCGAAAGGAGGCGCCGTAACCATTCTGGAATGCACAGGGTTTCGTTTTTATTCCTGATTCCTTGTTTTTCGGAAATGGTACTCGACACACTTGTGTGTCGGTGCCTTTCCCTGTGTTGTTCCTGTTCTAGTCTTCTCTACCCGGGCGGTTTAAGACTAAAGTCCCGCTCCCTAACTACTGCATTTAATTCGTTTCCGCTAAGTATTCAGTAATTCTAGAGGGCTAAGTATTCATACACATGCACGGACACACACATGGACATACACCCCCCTCCCTGCCCCCCCACTTTCCTTCTTGCGCTTTTCTTCGTTTGTTGGGCTTTCTCTCAGGCTTTTTAGGTCGCTCTTGAGGCTCGTTTCCCTACCCCAGTCAAGGGCTAAGTATTCACTTTTTCTACACCTACCTTTCTTTCTTGCCCTCTTAGCGCTGCTCTTTCTGTCTTTCTTTCCTTTCGTTTCTAAGGCTTTTTAGGTGTCTATTTAGGTCTCCCACACGAGCGCCGGGAAGCGGCACCGTGTGTGTGTCAAACCCTGTTTCCAAGGGTTTAATTTTAATTTAACTTGAAGCAGGGGGACAGAGCTCTCTGATGCTACTCTGTCCAACGAAGCTATGCATCAGAGAGGGAAGCATCCACTGGCCATGGATGTGTACCTGCTGAACGATTTCAAGCTGTGACTCCACTCTTCGCTTTTTTGGTTCATGGTCCTTCACGTTTCCACCCCCAAACCTGTTTTTTTTGAGCTGAGTTGCGCCGCTCGTTTTGCCACCGCTGAGGTTTGCAGTCAAGGGAAACAGCCTTTGTTAAAACACCTACAATTCCTTGGACTTTTCGCCATACTGTTCCATCGCCATCTTTCCCATCGTGGTAATTGAGTTAACTGAAAACCAGTGTCAGAGTGTTTGTAGCATCTTGGAACTCTAACATGAACTAACCGAACCTGGTCTCAACCCGTCAAAACCAAAGAACACCCCATCTCACCACAGCACGGCGCTCCTTTTTTGTCGCAAAGACAAACCTCGAGCCGCCGCGCACTGGCTGGGCTCAAGCCGCTGAGCCACAAAGCGTCAGTCTCCTGCTAAATATGTTTCTAACCTTCTCTGATTTAGCAATATTCATTATTTATATTTCATCAGGAATCTTCAACTGCCCTTGATAAGCCTTTCCTTTCTTTCACACACTAGACCAGCACTCTAAGCTGCAGACCCTTCTTGGTGGAGCCCTGGCACGTTGAGATCCGGTCGTCCCGTGCGGGACCGTGCCCGTTCACTGGAGTCCATACGAGCAATGCTCGAGCAAACATCCTCAACTCTTTGAGAGCACAACATGTTCCATTGCTCGGCCATGCGGTTTTTTGAAATAAGCAATGAACACTACTAGTAACAAGAAGCTACTAGGGGCTCCTGGCATCGCTACTAGGAGCAAGGACGCTACTAGGGGCTCCTAGCCTTACTACTATAGTAACAAAGCTATTAGAACCGTTCAGGGTTTCTGCGGCTTGGTATCACCCATGGCCTTTCTTCTTTCTAATCGGTCTCGGAGCTCTTGCGCTTTGCTCGCGTGCTTCCGGAGGTATTTCCTCGCAAATGGGACCAAAGCTGTAGGCCGATAGACTTTGAAGCAGAATAGGCTTGTACAAGAAGTCGAGCGTAGCTTTACTAAGACTACTTTCATTGAATTTGAGGATGGTTGCAAACCATGATGCTGCTCACTTCCAAAAAATCCCCCCCCAAAGAGCAAACGCGCGCACACCAAGGTACCATGTCCTTGGCTCTGCGTGAAAAAAAAAACGGGACTTTGCCACCCAATGGCAACAACATGCAGCAACACATAGCAGCACCGACGAACCTTGGACGAAACCAGTGCCACGGTGCCCCCCCCGGCATTGACATCTCCAAGAGTCCACAGACCCTTGGCTGTCCGCTCGCCATCATAAAGCGTGGCGTTGGAGGCACCCGCCTTGACGAAGAAAATCGTGGGAAAGGAGCTCCAATCCTCAGAGCTGCTACAACAGGTCGACGCTGAAGTCCGGTGGGTTGGGCGCAAGTGCTCAGTGTCGAATGGCTCTTGTCGCAGTGTAGTGGTTGAATCCTAGTGTTGCGCACTTCAAAAGTAGAAGTGGACATGACTGTGGACATGGTCTTCGCAGATCACCCGGTCCATCTCCACAAAGGGGAGGGGGGGGATGTTCGTAACCTGAACACTTCGGACTCGGGATCCCGGGGGCAGTCGTTCGCTCAGTCCACGACGGACGCCACGGACTGCACAACAATAGACACAACAAAGCTGACAGAAGTGCCCCTGGCAAGTAGCTGACACAACACCCATTTTTCTAGGAACAAGTATCTACTAGGGGCTCCTGGCATCTCTACTAGGAGCAAGGACGCTACTAGGGCTTTTGCTTTAAGGGAAATGGATCCCTCATCCCGCGTTCCTCCCCCCGCACTCATGTCGTACCATGTCGTACCGTTGGTACAACGGCACCTCGTCATACCTCGTCAACATCATTGTACCAGCCACCGCCCTTGGCCCGGGCCGGGCGGTAAGCGCAGCGAAGTGTCAAGCTCGTCCACGGGGCTATCATTGGCTGTGCCATCGATCTTGGCGATGGTGATCAGGTCGCCTCACCGATGGATGTGAGGGATCTGTAGAACTCTCTGCTCGAAACATTGGTGCTGACAAACTTTGGAGGCTCCCCACATCCCAATGTGGACAACGAAGTCTCAGGCGAACAGTTTGAACCGTTTGCCCGGCACATACCTTTCCCCAGCAAACGTGTCTCCCCATTCAATTCAAAACTATCCGTCCTTGAACAGCGATACAACAAGGAATTCCCACAGACTAAGCCACCCACTATATAAGCACATCACAAACGTAGGAGCTGGGACCAGTTGCTGACCGGACCTAACCAGTGACCGCACTTGAAGGAGCCGGGACCTGGGATGTTTTTTTTTCTTGAGGTGATGTAGCATTTGGCACCTTGCACGGCGACCTCGGACCAATCAGTTGACCGTGAGACTGTCTCTCGCCAGGAAGGCCAAAAGGATCCCAATCAAAGCAACTTTGAGGACTCTTCTACAAAGACTTTCGGGCCTAGCTCTTCTTTTCGGATCTTCTTCGCCAACTTCACGTATTCCTGGCATCGAGGAAGCAACAAAAAATGACTCGTTGTTAACAAATATCATAACTCGTGTCATGTGCCCCCAGCAAATAAACACAAACAACTATACACACACATATATATATATATATCCTTTGGCAACCCTCCTTCTGAAGGACAACCAGTTGTAGGCCACTTACACATAGCATCACGTAGTAACAAACCACCAAACAGGTTGAATGGGAAGTTTGCAGCATGTTGAAGAAAGAGCCGGTACTCAGTAAAAGCAGAATCGTGTGCATGTGTGTGCACAGGGTTCG